CATCAGAGGAGCATCAGAGGAGCGTCAGAGGAGCATCAGAGGAGCATCAGAGGAGCGGGACACAGCATCATTCAGAGTTCTGTTAGTATGCAGCCATGTTTCTGTGAGTAAAGGAAGCTACCTGGTCATTCAGCTGTCTGATGTTCTTCTCTATGTGAGGCAGCAGGCCTCTGAAGGTGAACTCCTGGATGAACTGTCTGATGCGGTCGTGGTCGCTCAGGGTCAGGCAGGCGCCGTGGCTCCCCGCTCCGTCAGCTGCGTCGTCTGGGTCAGCAGAACTTTTCTTCACGTCCTCTGGGCTCATGGTTAGGACGCTGTCGGTGTCCAGCTGAAGGGGGTGAGTGGAAGGCCCAGGATCTACTTCCAACATGGAGACAAACATTCAGGCTGATTCTCAACAACTATGGACGCCAGAACAGACTCATGTTCTCGCCAAGTCTGTTCTTTACAAGAACCCAGGAAAGTCTGGACTTGGGGAGAACGCAGCAGAAATCTGGGTCCACTGATGACATCACCACATTCAAAGCTAGTCTGGAGCTGCATTTCACCTCCTGTTATTGATCGTCTCTAAATCAGGGGTCACCAACGTGGTGCCCGCAGGCACCAAGGGGCCCTCAGGGACCACATGGGGTGCCCTCAGCATCTTATGAAAACAGAACAACTTACCAGTGGATTAAGCTTGAATGGTATTTTTTGCTGCTGCTGTTATGCTTTATCATTTATAGAGCCTTTCATCATATCAATAATTTAAAACATATAAGCATTTACAGGGATTTCAAAATGACAATATTTAAAAGCAAATCAGAAATCTAAAGAAACAATAGAAATATGTTTATTATCTATGAAGTTTAGGTGAACGCTGACTCCTCCAGTTCATAGGTCCGTATTAATAGAAGGTTGGTGACCCCTGCTCTAAATAATAATAAATTAGGACTTTTTTCATCTAGTGGGGGAATAATAATTATCATCAGAGCCAGCGGCCCTTCACACGGCTATGCAGAGAGAGGGCCGCCGCAGACGGGCTAATGTTCCCTTCATTGGCTTCCTGTTAAATCCAGAATAGAATTTAAAATCCTCCTTCTCACATATAAAGCCTTAAATGGCCAAGCTCCATCTGATATCA